TATGATTTTATATCATTTATAATTTTTTTATTAACATTAAACATTTATATGAAATATATCAGTAATTTTTTCATTACAATTACATCCTTTTTTCTCTACGTTGGAGAGAAAAGGAGGAAAGATTAACAGTGCAACAAGTTCAGCTGGAAAAAATAGACCTTAGGATTGTAACCTATTTGAACCTTGTATTATTGCTCCTAAAAAGATGACATGTCATCTAAAAAAATAAAAAATGTATATAATTAATTACCAACTACCATTAATGATGTCATTATTGCGTTTAATAGCGCGCTACCAGCTAGCTCCGCGAACAGCTGATAGCAATAAATAGCGTGAAATTCGCGCCGCGAATAGTGTCTCCTCAAACGCACCCATAGGCTGCGTTCCGTTTCATGCATGATGCACATGATTCATTGCTTATCCTTGTTTAACATTCGGTGAACAACAGGCCTTACTGACCGCAGAGCTCGTAAACATTATTTTGTATGATATTTCCCATTGTAATCAGTTCGTATAAGTATTATATATATTATTCATAAACGTGTTTTAATACTTTATGACAAATTTTGCTAACAATTATTTATTTTACGTTAGGATGGAAAAGATATCTTTGGATTTGCCGATTTTGATCAATTAACCTAGGAATTATACTGCGGTATTTTGCCCTTGAATATTATTTACTGTTATTTAGAAAACAAATATAAATAACTGAGATCAATATAAGTCTAATTAAAGTAATTTATACCTAATTAATAATTTAAATATTATTTACACAAAACTAATAAAATATATAAAATTTAATTTTCAGACATGTATTTTGTTGTTTTTTGGGATGAATGGTGCGCTACAATAACGGCTTCTTGGCTTATCTTGAAGTCTCAAGTTTTCAAATGGCCACCCAAAAATAAGAATGCTACTAATGAAAGTAAAAAAGGAACGAAGCCTCAAGAAAAGTGGATAACAGTTCGATATTCCAAATTGTTAGGACCTTTCGGTATGTAATTTGTAACGGTTCACCTTTCCCGTACGCCGCGGATCAAGGCTCGCCGGTGCCAGGATTCGGGAGAAGGGGGAAACTCCAAC